AATCTGTTTGAAGACCTAAGGTATATCATTATACTCCTAATTTTTTTTCCTCCCCCAACTCCAGTCCTGGTCTTTACAACCGGAGATGGCAAAACTGCTGGTCTGTGGACTGGATGTAACCTGCTAGGTCCTTACAGTATTTAACATTTTGGGACAATTCACATTAAGAATTAATGACTCCAGGCTGGGTGCGGTGGCTCATGCCTGTAATCCCAGCACTTTAGGAGGCTCAGGTGGGCTGATCCCCTGAGGCTGGGAGTTCAAAACCAGCTTGGCCAACATGGAGAAACCTTGTCTCTACCAAAAAGACAAACTTTAGCTGGGTGTGGTGGCACACGCCTGTAATCCCAACTTGTCAGGAGACTGAGGCAGGAGAATCACTTGAACCTGAGGGGCAGATGTTGCAAGTGAGCCAAGATGGCGCCACTGCACTCCAGCCTGGGCGACAGAGTGAGACTGTCTCAAAAAATAGAAGTAACAACTCCAGTCTAAGTCCCTACCTTGAACTGAAGACTTGAATGACGTCGCCTCCCCACTTCATGTCCCCTTTTCTTGTTTTTCTCCTTGGCAGTTATCACTCTCTAACATACATATTTCACTTGTCTTACCTTTCTCCTAGTTTTCCCTTCTCTCACCAGCTAGAGTGTGAGCTCCAGGAGGCAGACGTTCTTGTATGTTGTTGTTATTTTTTTTGGAGACAGCGTCTCCAAAAGGTTGGAGCGTCTCCCCAGGCTGAAGTGCAGTGGCACAGTCTCGGCTCACTGTGACCTTGACCTTCCAGACTCAAGCAATCCTTCTGTCTCAGCTCCTGGAGTAGCTGGGACTACAGGCATGGGTCACTGCACCCAGCTAATTTTTGTATTTTTCTTGTACAGATGGGGTCTCGCTATGTTGCCCAGGCTGGTCTTGAACTCCTAGGCTCAAATGATCCTCCTGCCTTGGCCTCCCAAAGTGCTGGAATTGCAGGTGTGAGCCACCACACCCAGCCTTGTTTTTTTTATTGAACGCTAAACCCACAGGTCTAGAACCGTGCCTGCTGGCACAGAGTAAGTGCTTAGTAAGTGCTTGCTGAACGGTTGAAAAATGCACTAAATTCAGTATTTCTGGTTTTACTTGGAAAAAAACAGAATGTCTAACTCTGATTCTCTACTACCAAATGGCACCAGTAGAGGTGAGGAGCAGCTGCCCGTCTGAGGGTGTAGGTGCTCTTCAGTTTGCTGCAGACCTCACCATCTGTGTTGTATACCTGGCTTCAGCGGGAGCAGAGGGCAGAGGTGGAGAAGCAGTCAAAATGGAGATTGGGCCTTGACAGACAGGTAGGAACACAAAATGAGATGGAGGCAAGGACATGGCAAGCAGAGGAGATAAGATGTGCCAGCAAATGTGTGAGAGGGTGTGATGGGCCAAGGGTGGCAGGTAGTTGGTGGCAGGCAGAAGAGGGCACCAGAGAAGTGGGGTGGGAAGTTGGGGCTGTGTCTCAACAAGGCAGGCCCTGGGAGTCATCAAGTTTATTATTAGTATTAGAGGCAAGGCACGGTGGCTCGTGCCTGTAATACCAGCAGTTTGGGAGCCCAAGGCGGACAGATCACTTGAGGTTAGGCCAACATGGTGAAACCCCATCTCTACTAAAAATAATTTTAAAAAATTAGCCAGGTGTGGTGGCAGATGCTTGTAATCTCAGCTACTCGGGAGGGAGGCTAAAGCACAAGAATCATTTGAACCTCAAAGGCGGAGGTTGCAGTGAGCTGACACTGTGCCACTGCACTCCAGCCTGGGCAACAGAGTGAGATTTCGCCTCAAATATAAATATATATATATGTATTTATTAGAATTCCTTAAATATAAAAAGATATAAAGAAAACAGGCTGGGCATGGTGGCTCACACCTGTAATCCCAGCACTTTGGGAGGCCGAGGTGGGTGGATCACCTGAGGTTAGGAGCTCAAGACCAACCTGGCCAACATGGCGAAACCCCGTCTCTACTAAAAATACAAAAATTAGCTGGTGTGGTTGAATATGCCTGTAATCCCAGGTACTTGGGAGGCTGAGACAGGAGAATCTGTGGAACCTGGGAGACGGAGGTTGCAGTGAGCTGAGATCGCATCACTGCACTCAAAAAAAAAGAAAAGAGGCCGGGCACGGTGGCTCAAGCCTGTAATCCCAAGCACTTTGGGAGGCCAGGACGGGTGGATCACGAGGTCAGGAGATCGAGACCATCCTGGCTAACCCGGTGAAACCCCATCTCTAATAAAAAGTACAAAAAACTAGCCAGGCGAGGTGGCGGGCGCCTGTAGTCCCAGCTACTAGGGGAGGCTGGGCACGGAGAATGCATGAACCCAGGGACGGGCAGAGCTTGCAGTGAGCCGAGATCCGTGCCACTGCACTCCAGCCCTGGCGACAGAGCGAGACTCCATCTCAAAAAAAAAAGAAAAAAACAGAAACAGAAACGCCTGTCAACCTCCTTTAACAAATAATCCTGTAACACATGTTAGAAAATTTCAGAAAGTATGAAAATTCTAGTAAGTCAGACGGTTCAAGATGATAGCAACACTCCACCTTTCCTGTCATCTTTCGTGAAGTAGCAGCTCCAACAGTTTGAGTACTTCCGGACAAAATAGAGCCTATATTAACCACAAGTGTAGATTTCTAAAGGTTTTATGATCTCTTTTCCTCCATCTCGCTCTGTCACGCCAGCTGGACCTGCAGTGCGCGTTCTCCGCACTGCAGCTCCATCTCGCGGTCCTTCGACGCCATTACTCCTGCCTCAGCCTCCCAGCTTTGGACTACAGGTGTCCAGCCACCACAACCGGCTAACTCTCTTCTTGCTACTTTTAGTAGGAATGGATTTTCACCATTAGCCAGGATGGTCCTCAATCTCCAACCCTTCATCCACCCATCTTGGCGTCCCAAACGTTGCTGGGATTACATGGTGTGAGCCACCTCGCCCGGCGCCAGGTTTGAGATTCTTTTAAGGTTTTAACATTTTCTTTCGCCCTTCGACTTCAGGATAATGATTTTAAAAAAAAAGACAAAATACAAACAATACTTACCTGTGCCCTTCCGGAAAAAAAAATTTCAAACATGGATACAAGCAAGCGTTATAATACCCTCGACCTAAGCCTTTTTTCCTTTTTTTCTTTTTTTTGAGAAGGAGCTTTCATTCGCACCCCAAACACCTGGGTGCAGGGCGTGATCTTGGCTCACTGCACCTCCCGCCTCGTGGCTTCCACTCGAGTTCTCCTACTTCACGACAGGCCTTCTCGAGCTAGACTGGGACTACAGGCATGTGCCACCACGCCATGGCTCAATTTTTTTTTTTTTTTTTCCTTTGAGACGAGTTTTTGCTCAATTTGTTCCCGGGCTGGAGTGGCAGTGGCACATTTGCCTCACTGCACAACCTCCCCCGTTCCTGCGTTTCAAGCGATTCTCTTGCCTTCACGTCTTCTGAGTAGGGGGATTCACAGGGTCGCCCGCTACCCATCCTGTCTAATTTTTGTATTTTTATTAGAGACAGGGTTTTGCCATGTTGGCCAGGCTGGTCTCAAACTCCTGACATCAGGTGATCCACTTGCCTCGGCTTCCCAAAGTGCTGGGATTACAGGTGTGAGCCACCGCGCCCAGTAGAGCCTAACCCTCTTTCTACTTCCCTGCATTACCCAAAGAGATCCATTATAAACAGTTTGGCTTTTTAGACTTTGCTAATACATACATATAAAGCAATTTTGTCTTTTTTTTTTTTTTTTGAGACAGGGTCTCACTCTGTCGCCTAGGCTGGAGTGCAGTGGTGCCATCACGCCTTACTGAAACCTCTGCCTCCCAGGTTCAAGCAATTCTTGTGCCTTAGCCTCCCATGTAGCTGGGATCACAGGCATATGCCACCATGTCCCAGCTAATTTTTGTATTTTTAGTAGAGACAGGGTTTTGCCACGTTGCCCAACCTGGTCTTGGATTCCCGAGCCCAAGTGATCTTCCTGTCTCGGCCTCCCAAAATTGGGATTGGGATTACAGGCGTGAGCCACTGCGCCCCACGTGTTTTTATAGAGATGGGGTTTCGCCATGTTGGCCAGGCTTGTCTCGAACTCCTGGGTTCAAGCAGTCCACCTGCCTCGGCTTCCCAGAGTGCTGAATTACAGGCATGAGCCACTGTGCCTGGTCTGTATTTACTTTTGAGAGGAATTTAATAGAAATGATTTAGGAGTGCAAATGTGATAATGGTTTACTGCTTATGGAATGGCCTTAGGGGGACATTTGTGGAGTGTTCTTACACCCGACTGGGATTAGACTAGATTGGAATTTCACAGCAAAATAGTCTTGCAGACAAAAAGTTTAGCTTTTTCTTTGTGGAGTCCTGGAGTGAGTGGGCGCAAGAGGGGGGCTGAGGCTTCACTTCCGTCTCGGAGGAAGTTTGTCGTTGGGAGCAGTCTATCTTGATTGACCCTGGTGCAGTCACTGAGAAACTGAGGCATTTTCCAAAACCAAGTTGATCATTTGAGGGGCAGAGTTTGCAGAGAACTTTCAGGAGGCTTTGGGTATGGTGGGAAAAACACTGCACTCAGGACTGGGGGATTGGAGTTCCTGGGGCTAGCTCTTCCCCTCACTGGGTCCTCAGGTTTCCTTTACCCTTAGATACGGGATTGGGCTAACTGGTTTCTAGGGCCCTTTCCAGTGGGAAGAGCTTGAGCTGCTGTTTTGCCTGAAGTGCAGTCCTTGCCTTCCAGGAGCTTGCAGTCTGGTTTAATGAGAGTGTTCATTTCAGCTCCTTTCCTCCCCCTGCAGTGAGAGGATATTGTCTGCTGAGCTTGAGAAGGTAAATGCTAAGAAATGGCAGCAATCAACCCCTCTTACAGTGCCACTTCACCATCTGGAGAGAACCTTTGCCTTAGCCACAATCACTTTCCCTTTGACTGGTAGAACCACCACTGATTTATAATTTGCCAAATGCTTCATGTACGAAAGTGCCCTTGGAACAGCCCTTTCAATTCTGTTTTTTTTTTTTTCCAGGTTGATTCCAAAGATAGTTCTCATAACTCCACGAACTCTGAATTTGCAGCTGAAGCTGAGGGTCAGAATGATACAATTGAGGAACCCAACAAGATCCAGAAAAGGAAGAGGGATAGACTTCGAGACCAGGGCTCCACAATGATCTACCTGAAGGCTATCCAGGGCATCCTGGGGAAATCGATGCCAAAAAGGAAGGGAGAGGCTGCCATTCGGGCAAAACCAAGCACAGCAGAGCGTCCCAGCCGTGGAGAAGGACCAGCCAGGAGTGAAGGACCAGCCAAGACTGCAGAAGGAGCAGCCAGGAGTGTCACAGTCACCACTGCTCAGAAGGAGAAAGACTCAACCCCAGAGATCAGCGTGGAGGAGGACAAGACTGTGCCAGAGAAGAGCAGCTTCTACGACAGGAGAGTAGTTATAGACCCTCAGGAGGAACCCAGTGAGGAGCCCCTTGGGGACCGAAGGACAGTCATTAACAAATGCTCTCCACCCCTAGAGTTCTTGGATGATGCTGACTCTCATTTAGAAATCCAAAAGGTGAGTAAAGCTCACGCCAGGCATCTGACTTTTTAGTTCTCTTGATGAAATGTGTTCCATCTTTCTAGTTCGATCCTAAGTGTTACTGGTTAAAAACAGTACTTTACGTAACCAGGCCTCCAAGAAACAAATTGATGGTTTTCTTCTAACATACTTTTCAGATTTTCAGTTATTAATAAATGTAAACTGAGTTTTTTTTTTTTTTTAAAGGATTTATATGTTAGGATGTGGGTTTAGCTGCTGTGTAAAAGGCCAAAGTAACAGTGGCTTAAGTTTGACTTAAGAAGGATGGCTTCATCACGTCAGAGATACTGGTGCCTTTTGTCTTGATTCTCTATCACCCCTCAACACAGTGTCCATCTCTTGGTGTGAAATGGGTACTCTGATAGGATGCAGGGTTTGTTAATGTGGGCATTCTGGCCAGTGGGAAGGGGAGAAGAGGAAAGTGTATTCCTTCCTTGTTAAGAGCTTGGCTCAAGAGTTGCACACGGTATATCTGCTATTGACAAGAGTGGGGAAACCTGGTTGACACCTAGCTGCAAGGGAATCTGGAAAATCAGCCTTCATCTAGGCAGACTTATACCTTGATAACCAGAGAAGAAGGGAAGGATGTCATTGGAGGGATACTAGTGATTTTTAACATAGCTTATAATTGAGGGGCAGCATTCTTCCATCTTTTTGGTGGTTGTTGTTGAGACAGAGTCTTGCTCTGTTGCCCAGGCTGGAGTGCAATGGCGTGATCTTGGCTCACTGCAACCTTCGCCTTCCAGTTTCAAGCAATTCTCCTGCCTCAGCCTCCCGAGTAGCTGGGATTACAGGTGTGCGCCACCAAACCCGGCTAATTTTTGTATTTTTAGTAGAGATGGGGTTTCTCCATGTCGGTCAGGCTGGTCTCAAACTCCTGACCTTGTCATCCACCCGCCTTGGCCTCCCAAAGTGGCGGGATTGCAGGCGTGAGCCACTGTGCCTGGCTGCATTCCTCCATCTTACTCGTCTCCACCCATCCTTTATTACTGCTCCACAGGCAGCTTCTCATCTTTTAGCTCTTTCTTCTAGTACTTACCCCATGTTTCTAAATAATCTTTACTGTTGATCAGTTTTACAGTTTTAGATGTCTGAGAACTTCTTGCTTGGGAGATGAGAATTTAGTTCTCTGTACCTCCTTCAGAAGCACCCACACCCAGGGATACATTAGCTTCCCCTTTTTGCAGCCTCCCTGTGTGGCTTGAATACCTTTTGGATTAAGTCTGTTTAAGATTGGTTACTGCCATGTTCACAGCTGAGTCGCTTTGTATACTACGATCACATTTTCTTTCTTGTAAAACTTCATTTTCCTTAAAGTTCATCGTTACTTTGTTTTTCCTTTGGTTTTCCCTGTACCTTTCACTAATTAATCTCCAAACTGTGAGAGCCATAAAATCCTTCTCAATATGGTCAAAGTAAGGAATCTGTTCCTTTTTTTTTTTTTTTTGGCTTGGAGGCATACGTCTTCAGCCGTCTGTCGTCCTGCTCTGCTCTGCTCTGGTCTGGACTGCTTGCCCTTAGGCCAGCTGGCAGCTGTCTCTCTGGAGCCTCCACATTTCTCCCGGATCGAGTCTTCTGCTACCTATAACTCTGTGTCTTCTCATGTTCTTCTTCCTTGGTTTACTCTCACATTTTGGTGGAATACTTTTTCTAGTAGCTTCTTGAGAAAGGGTACATGGAGAAATTTTTTTGGAAAACGTTTGTCTGAGATTGCCTTTTTTTTGACCTGGAAAAGATGTTCCCAATATATTGTTAAGTGAAAAAAGCAGGTTACAAAACGGTATGCACAATATGAGCCCATTTTTATAAAAATATACATATTTAGCAAAGTAAACGGACAAATGATGTTTATCAAAATATTAACATTGGTTCTTTTAACATAGTGGGATGATTGTTGATTTTGCTTAACTACTCCCCCATTTTTTCCTATTTGAATTTACTATAATGAAGATTGCTTTTTAAATGGATAGTAGGAGATGAGGGCATTATTAACCTCTGATTAGCCCAAATATACTCCTAACGGTCCTTCTGACAAAGTAAATGTTTCTATTCAGCCTATATCTGGGAAATTGCTTCTACCTTATAAATTTGAGTGTCCTTCAAAGATGATATTCACTCCAACTTCCTTTTAGGCAAACTATACAATAGCAATTTTTGATATTTAAAAACTTAAAAAACATCCCTCAACTTAATACCAAAAAGAATAGATGAGAAAATACAAATCCTCACTTTTCAAAAAGAAACAATCCAAGTACATACTACTAAATTATACAAAGTTACGTTATGTAAGTTTAGTTTATTGCAGAGATGAAGACAACACACTAGAAGTTGGCAGCTTCTATTTCACACCGTTCACAGCACTCACTCGGTTCTCCATTTCATTCACTCACCCATGCAAAAGGTCTGTACACGCAATGATGTCTGATGTGTCTTGGTTTCCATAGTATAACAGGAAACTTGACATTTCAATTAAAAAGGTAAAATGAAGACATTTACCATCAGACTATAAAATTCCTCTTCTGTAAGAGGATGCTATAGTACTTGAATATATGATTTGAAACAAAATCATGTACCAAATGAAAGGGGCACCATTTCAAGAGCACTAGGACTACATTAAATTTAAATGTATTCCAACATTCTTAAAAATGTAACTCAAAACCAAATCTAGTCTTAAAAAAGCTCCAATAACTAAAACTACATTAACAGGCACGATGAACAGTGTAAACACTGTTAACGGGCACCAAGTTTAACAGGGCAGACAATATTTGCTTCTGCATTCACACTTATTCAATTATATTTTTCAAAAAAATGATGCTGCTTAAACTATTAATGTTTTACCAAAAAAAATAACTTTAATAAATACAGCAAATGCTAGAAATCTAGCTAGGTTATCATGCAAGGTATAACCAAGACAAACTCAAATTTGTAATAAAGGCAACTTGCATTCAAAATGAACTCTACCCTTATATTTTATTAAAAGGGCAAACATCATGAATTAACCCAGCTGCTTACTTGAATTACAAAAGTAACATGATTCAATATGAAAATAAGAAACTGTCTACAAATCTCTGACAGTAATAAATTGCAACGTGCAATGCATACAGGAGTCATACAGAGCAACAAACTCTCGTACAAAACAAAAGTATTTTAATACCTTTAAAATCCAAATTTTTCTTTAAAATCATTCATGAAAAAGATTCTCAAGTCAGAATTAACACCTCAATTAGTCAAGCATCAGGAAACTACATTGCAGCTATTAATATACAAAAATACATCTTTTCACTGTCTTTCCTTCTGATGCCTCTGTTCCAGAATCATACAGACTCTCATTTCTCTACACTCCCCATTCCATCATTTCTTCAGATCGTGAAAACTGAATTTGCTGAACACCGAATCTGTTGATATGATGTTGTGTAAACCATAACATTTTGTTGTTGACCGTCTGTGGTTATTAAGCCAGCTGGTAACTGGTTAGTAAATGCCTCCTCTGTAAGCTCTTCACTTAGTCCATCTGTAGCTGTGACTGCTCCACCAATTCCCTTTTCTCCTTTCATAGCCTTTCTGAATTTCTGAAGGTATAATTTCAGAGGTTTCACCTAACTGTCAAAGCCTAAGGTAGACATAGCAAAGAGAATATCTTCTCCATTGATTGTTTTTCGCTTCTCTTGATGGCACCTTTCGCTTGCCTCAGATGTTCTATAAAGCTGAGGAACTCACTCACACACTCTTGAACACATTCTTTGGCATCTTTTGTAATCTTTCCCGTTTGAGGGATGGCATTTTTCATTATCCTAGCCACATTTGCTATTGGAAGATATACATCTTGTTCTCTGAAACTTTCTTTTGAACCATTTGTGTCCTCATGATCATTCATGCTGTCCTCAGTATCATCATGAGGGTATATAACATAATGACTTCCTCCAATATAGTCTGCAGAGATTCCTAGTTGAGAAGCATCTGTTGTAGAACTATCACCATCCATTGTCATGAAATACTGTCAGAACTGTGTTGTCAGTGGTGCTGAAGAACACCTGTCTAAAAAGGTGTCTAATCTTTGTGATTTCAACCTCCAATGCAGCCCTGGTTGGCTCCTGTCTCCCGAGATTGCCTTTATTTTACCTTTAACTTTGATTGCAAGCTTGCCTGGTTTCGGAATTCTAGGTTGGAAATCATTTTGTTCGGGATTTTGAAGGCATTGCTCCTTTTCTTCTGGGCTTTTTTTTTTTTTTTTTTTTTTTTTTTTTGAGATGGAGTCTCGCTTTGTCTTGCCCAGGCTGGAGTGCAGTGGTATGATCTTGGCTCACTACAGCCTCCACCTCCCAGATTCAAGTGATTCTCCTGTCTCAGCCTCCCGAGTAGTTGGGATTATAGGCGCATGCCACCACACCTGGCTAATTTTGTATTTTTAGTAGAGACAGAGTTTCTTCATGTTGGCCAAGACTGGTCTCGAACCCCTGACCTAAGGTGATCCACCTACCTAGGCTTCCCAAAGTACTGGGATTACATGTGTGAGCCACCTTGCCTGACCTCTTCTGGTTTTCTTGATGTCTGAAGCTATTCTGGTTCCTTGGTGTATGATTGTTTTTGTCTGTACATATATATATATATATATTTTTTTTTTTTTTTTTTGCTGTGAGACAGAGTCTTGCTCTGTCGACCAGGCTGGAGTCCAGGGGCACGATCTCAGCTCACTGCAATCTTCGCCTCCTAGGTTCAAGCGATTCTCCTGCCTTAGCCTCCTGAGTAGCTGGGATTACAGGCGTGTGCCACCACACCCGGCTAATTTTTGTATTTTTAGTAGAGATGGGGTTTCACCATGTTGGTGAGGCTGGTCTTGAACTCCTGACCTTGTGATCTGCCTGCCTCGGCCTCCCAAAGTGCTGGAATTACAGGTGTGAGCCACCATGGATTTTTCAGGACTGGTCCTCTAATTTTATTGCCTTTCTCCTTGTTTCTAGCCAATTTCTTGCTTTACTTTGTAGGAGATTTCCTTTTCTTTATCTTCCAACCCAGCTGTTTTATTTAGTTTTACTTTCTGCTGTCATGCTTTTATTATCCAAGAAGATGATTATTATCATCTTCTGTTACCTCTTTTAGGAATTCATGGTAGTTTTTTGGCTTGGTTTTAGTTTTCTTTAAGTTGGTTCTTTCTGTTTCTTTTGATTTCTTCTGTGTTAGAGGCTGTCTTCACATGTCTGGTAATCTTTGATTGTCTGTGATCAAGAATGGGAGGATTTAAAAGCTATTTGGAAGCTCTGAGCGCAAAGACTTTGAGCTTTGCTTTGGGATGATCTGGAGAGCATAACCCTCCTCCCTTCGCCATGTCACTGTTTTTAGGAAAAGTGCTGGAATTACAGGCATGAGCCCCACGCCCAGCCTAAATTAAAAGTTTTGACCAGGCGCGGTGGCTCATGCCTGTAATCCAAGCACTTTGGGAGGCCGAGGCAGGTGGATCACCTGAAGTCAGGAGATCGAGACCAGCCTGACCACATGGTGAAATCCAGCTCTCTCTGAAATACAAAACAATTAGCCAGGGCATGGGTGGTCCATGCCTGTATTCCAAGCTGGGCTCAGAGCTAAACAAGGAGAATCGCTTGAACCGGGCAGAGAGGAAGGAGGTGCAGCCTGAAGCCTAAACAAGATC